TGCTAGGATTAAAGGCATGCGACACCACTGTCCAGCTGGATACTGGATTAAGAGAGCCTGGCTTTCTGTTTCAGACCATTAGTTGTTTGAAGATAGGAATTTCTGAGGGTCTGTTCCATTTAGGTGTGATCACAAGTCAACTGTGCTTGCTCCAATATGGACCGATGACCCTTTCATGCAGGAGAGACTAGAAACAGACCAAACCCCAACCCAACCTTTGGAAACTGTCTGTTTTCACAACTGAAAGGAGACCCTTGAAGGGAAGTGTGCAGACTAGCTGGGATGTCTCTGCATAAAAGGCACAGAACAAGCAAAGACTTCTGCTCTAACCCTGCTCTCACAGGACTCCCATCTGCAGTCCAGGTGAGCGCCAAATCACTATAGGGCAGACCCCAGTCACATGACCTCAACTTGACCAATGAGGGAGTTCTGATAGGCTGCCCAATCTGATTGGCTCAGATTGGGTAGTCTATCAGAATCATGTTACCAATCGGATCACACAGCGCGAGGTAGGTGGCTAAGAGACAGTTGGTGCCAGTTATGTGATGTTGAAGGCAGAGCTTTCACTTTGAGGACACCAGTGGCAGAGGCAGTGTGCACAGATGGTGTATTAAGGCACAGATTTGGAAGAGGAGTTTCTGTTCTACTCAAGCAACACCAGGTACAGCCTGATTGGCTGCTGTCTGCTAAGACTGTTTTTCTTTCACAGGACCCACATTGTTCTCCTTATTGTCAAAACCACTTTGGGGTGAGGATAAGGCCACCAGACCTTGTTCCTACTGGGTGGCTAATCAGGAGCCCAAGCCTGGATTCGGAACCACCTAGGACTCTGTGCATCAATCACTCTTTAGTCTGAAGAGTCTGTGGTAGCTGAGGCTTCCAGGCTGCTTCCCAGGTCACTGTGAACCATACCGTGGAGGCCACTGTCCTATTCCATGTCCTCACTGGCCTGTCTTATGTTCCCTCAAATTTATCTTTTGAGACTGGTATGTCACATGTAAGGTCATCTTCATTTACAATTATTTTCTGGAAAAAAAACCCACTAAATTTCATCTTGAAGCTATGGGCTATTTGCCTTGTATCCTCTTCACATGTCTTGTCAATTTTTATCTTAGAGTTGTCCTTATGTTCTTCAGTGATGAACTCATCTTGATCATGAACATGGCCTTGTATAAGTGTTGAACTTGCTGGAATGTTTCAAGTACTTTCACTAAGGATTATCACTTCTAGGTACACAAACTGCTGACATAATTTCTCTTTTATTTACATTAAGGGTGAATTTGTTCTATTAATTTTGCTGTTTGTGTGTTTGTCTGTGCCACAATGCAGACATGGAATTCAGGGGAAAACTTGTGGGAGCCAGCGCCCTTTTTCTGACATGTGGAATAAAGGAGGAAGCTCAAGTCATCAGGTCTGGTTCCTGTAGGCTCCTGCAGGTTTTCTAGAACATGTTACAAAGCTTCTTTCCTTCTCCCTTATTGAATAGTTGGAGGGATATTAGTGTTAATTCTTTTTATAAGTTGGGTAGAATTCATACATGAATACATTCATACCAGTCTTTTATTTTTTTGATATTTTGTCATTGAAAATCTTTTTAATTTTTATTTTTATGAAAAAAAATTCATTATTTTACACACCAAAGATTCCCCCTCTTCCCTCCTCCTGCCTCCCAACTTCCCTCTCCCAACCTACGCCCCATTCCTCCCTATGAGAAGATAAGGCCTCTAGGGGAGTCACATCCAGTAGAGGCAAGTCCAAACTTCTTTCTCTGCCGCAAGGCTGCATGAGTTGTCCCATCATAGGCAGTGGGCTCCAAAAAGCCCACTCATGTACCAGGGATGGATTCCAGTTGTACCGCTAGAGGGTCCCCCAAGCAGATCAGGCTACACAACTGTCTTGCCATGCAGAGGCAGGTAAATGAATGGAACTAGAAAATATCATCCTGAGTGAGGTAACCCAGACTCAGAAGGACAAACATGGCATGTACTCACTCATAAGTGGATGCTAGATATGGATTGTAATCTGGTTATCCTTTGCTTTACAACTCCAGAGAAAGGTAGCTAACAAGGAAGACCCAAAGAGGGATGCATGGATTGCCCTGGGAAGAGGAAATAGATGAAATTTCCATGAGTAAAGTGGGCATGAGGGGAGGGTAATGGGAGGGTAGGAGATAGGGGATGAGAACATAGGGAACAGGATGGTTGAGCCAGAACAGGGATAGAGTGGGAAAGCAATGAAAATCTTTTACACAATACATTTTGATCATCTTCCTCTTAGTTCAATTCCTCCCAGACACTTCTTAACTCCCTTCCCATCTAGCATTATTGGCTATCTCTTTCTATTAAAATATAAATAAAACATAGAGCAAAAGAAAAATCAAAATAACCACTCAAGACCTATAAAATGCCCAAAGTAAGGGAAATGATCCCAGTAGTGTACCAGAATTCTATTGAGTTCATTTAGTGTTTGCCAATAATTCTAGGGCATCAGTCCTACCCAGAGGAGTGGTTAAGATACCCAGTGAGAATCCACTGGACAAAACTGATTTTTCCTTTGCCATTAGGAAACAATTGCAGGTGTCTACTTGGCTAGGGATGGAACCCTGTGTCAACTTCCTCTCTTCAGTGCTAGAACCCCCATCTGGCTTGAACCTTTGTATACTCGTGTGTATTGCTACTGTCTGAGTTCATGTGTTCACCAGTCCTGTTATATCTGAAACACACTGTTTCCTTGGAATTGTCTATTACCTCTGGCTCTTAGTATGTTCCTATCTCCTCCTTCCCTGAACCTTGAGGGAAGATTTTCATGAAGCCATCCCATTTAGGACTGAATATTACAAAGTCTCACACTCTCTCTGCATTGTTGTGAGTCTTTGTGTTAGTTCAATCTCCTGCAAGAAAGGGCGTCACTAGTGTGGGCTCTTTGAGACATATATATAAAATCAGTATATCATCCAGCCATTTTATCATTGTGTTTCTTGAGAAGAATAATAGTATCATGTTTGCCCATAGGGCTACAAACTCAGTTTCTTGGCCACTTGAGCAGTGTCAGGAATGGCTTCTATCTCCTGGATTAAGTCTCAAATCTAATCAGAAAGTGGTCGGTTACTGCCATTGTATTTGTGCCACTATTGTATCAGTCCATTTTGCAAATGGATCACTGTTGTCCTAGTGTTTGTAACTGGATGATAGTGATGATTATCTTTCTCCTTCAGTAGAATGCAGAGTACATTCTTGTATCATGAATGTCAGTCAGTAGAGGTGAAGCTTCTAGTTATGCACCAGTTCAACTTCTCCATGTTGGCTGACATACATGGGTGTTGTCTTCAGCAATAGGGCATAACAATAAGGTTGCATATAAGCAATAGTCTTGGCAGGAGTTGTTAGCTTTGGGGGTTTCCATGGGGCCCTTTTCCAGCTATGCAGTGAGATAGAACCCAATCATATCACTCGACCAAAGCTATTTTCTTGAGTTTTTTTTCAATGAATATTGAACTGTGTTTCTCATTGTTAATCTAGTTAGGGTTTTATATGCTCTTTTCAGTTTTGCTAGTTTAGAAATGTTTAGAAATTTGCTCATTTGCTGCAGTTTTATAATTCATACTATTATGGGATTTCAAAATACTTTCAAATGAAGCAACAGAGGAACCAGAGGGGTCAGGGACACCAGGGGAATACAGCCCACAAAATCAATTGACCAGGACTCATGGGGGCTCACAGAGATCAGAGAGCATTTGTAGGGGGTCTTACCTAGGTCCTCGGTATATCTGTTATGGCTGAGTACCTTGATGTTACTGTATGATTCTTAACAGTGGGAATGGGGGTGGTCACTGACTCTTTTGCCTAGTTCTGGGACCCTTTTCCTCCTACTGGGTTGCCTTTGCCCAGGTTTGATATGGTAGTATATCCCTGGTCTATAGTAGTATATTGTGCCCTACGGTTGATGTGCCTGGGAGGCCTGCCCTTTTCTGAGGGGAATTGGTGGGAGGGTAGATCTGGGGAAAGAAGAAGAAGAGTCTGGGGGAGGGGAGGGAGAAAACTACAGTCAAGGTGTAATATTAGAAAATAAAAAATTCATTTTACTTAAAAAATAGCTAAAGGACTAGGAAACTTAATCAATTTGAATGTGCCAAGTGTTGACATTATTGACTCATAAATACCTCTTTGTTATATCTCTACATAGAGAGCAGAACAACCTTGGGACATTGACTTCATACTTATCATGTTAACAAGCAACATCATACTTGTTACATCTGCCCTCAAGGAAACATTGCCAGATCTGAAAAAAAAAGTAGAAGGAAATAATGTAAATGGAATAATCATATATGAAATTATCACAAATATTAAGATTAAATTAAAAACTTTAAAAATTATAAATAATTACAAATGTACTTAAGAGTTATAATATATGATTAATATGATGGATTTCTGTGATATGCTTCATGATTTGAGTTTACATGAAAGCAAATGACTATTTAACTAATACAGAATGATATTCCACATTATTTAAAGAATGCTTTTCAGTATGGTGTTGATAAGTATGATATCATCAGATTCACCAAATTATCTCAGAGTAAAATAAACAGTTTGTACAGAAAAAAATAGTTATTTTGATAACATAGACTGTTTGAGGATTACTTTAGAATCTGGTATTGGATTTTTTTAAATTGCATCCCTTTCCCTCATCATAGGACAGCATCTGCTCAACTGTACAGCAGGATTCTTTCTAGTCCCTCTGATATAGTTATTTCTTCAGGAATGTTGATTCTCTGTTGCTATTTGTAGTCTACACTTTCATTAGGAAAATGTCTCAAGTGTTCAAGTTAGATGATTTCCATTGTTTCAGTTATTGAGAACTCAGTGGTGAACAAGGAAGCAAAATGTATTCCCAAGACTGCATATGAAATGGTTTGGTTTGTATAAACTTATTAACACATTTTATCTTCAAAAATGTTGACAGGATATCAAAATAAAACACCTTGTTAGTTGCCAAAAAACAAAACAAAACAAAACAAAACAAAACAAAACCCAAAACCACTCCTGTGTGATTCTTGTGATTCCAGCCATTTTTGCTGTAACAGCACCAGAGTTTGGCTGTAGATTTACATGGTGTCTTCTCCTATTTGATCACTTTTGGTAAGGTCTTACTTTTCAATAATCTAGTTTTTATGCCTTTGATATATTCATTATTGTCCATTTTCTTAGGTTCTATTCTTATCTTCAGAATGTTTGCCAGGTACTTTTTTGGGGTTTATTTTATTTTTATTTTACTGTACCCACAAGGTCAATGTAAGGTTGCTTCACATCCATGACACTTCTCCATGTAGAAATTGAAAGCCATAAACTCTTCCCCTGGACCTACTTCTCATTGTTTTAATTTGGTTTTGTCCAGTTGGTGTTGACATGGAAATTATCAAGAGACATAATAGCAAGACCAGAGAGGAGGTGTCAATGCAGCTGGACCTGAAGGCCAGCACCTCTCAAGAGGAGAACCTTACAGATCATTACATCATACTCAGGACCCTTGGCAAAGGGACATTTGCAGAGGGAAAGCTGGTCTGCAACCTCCACACAGAGGTGCAGGTTGCCATCAAGATTCTGGAAAATGGAGAGAATAATGACCACAACAACAAAACTGAAATTGACATTGTGAAGACGCTGGACCACCCAAACATCATCAAGGTGTTCCACATCACCAATACCGAAGAACACACCTATATGGTGATGGAGCGTGCTTCTCGGGGAGATCTGGTGAGCCATGTTGAGAAAGTGGGCTGTCTGCAGGAGGGGCAGATAGGTCCAGCAAATCTTCACTTAGATTGTGTGTGCAGATCTTCCCTTCAGGCAATATCCAACAACAACTTTGAAGCTGTCCCTCCCAAAGGTATAACTGTACCTTCTGCCAGTAGTCTTTCTCAAGGCTGGAAAAGGGTTAAGAAGAGAATTGGGAACTGGGTGAGACTCCTGTGCTGCTGCTTGCCAGCCTCATGGAGACACCATGTTTCTGAGAAGGAAGTGGCACCACTGGAAGTGGAGAGCAGTGTAGGTACACTCATGCAGCGACATGGGGTGCCCAGGATGCCCTTCTGTGTTTCTTAATCCAAATATTTTCTAATGTGCATTGCAACCAACACAGGATAATTATAGGTATGCAGATTAGCAAATCTGATTTCCAAAGGAACAGTCCCACAGCACCACCACCATTAACAGGAAATGGTTTAGCTGAAGGTGGACAGCAGAGCATGAGAAGCAGAGGTTGCAGAGGCAGCCAGAATGAGTTGGCTAAAAAAAGAAATAGAGGGGAATGAAGGTTTAGGGGGAAGAAATCTCCAAAGCTATGGTAGAGTAAGAGGGAGGAGCCACTTGAAAATAGATGGCCAGGAAGGATATAAGAGTCAAGTTACATACTATTTTTTTCAAAGTTCTTAAGACTGAGCCTTCCATATGTCATGATCTTTTTGAGTGATAATCCTCTATGCAGGTTGAGACTGGCTAAATGCTCCACTTTGGAAGGTGGGTTTTGCTGGCCTGTCCTGGAGCACAGTGGGCACATGACTTAGGCAGCAGTCTTAGAACCACTTTTTATTCAGAGCCAACATCAGGGGTCAGCCCTAGACAGAGCCTTGTTGACCCCAGAGTTGGGGTATTTAGCCAGGCTGTCTGCTTGGGTGTCCTACTGTGAAAACTGTCTTTGGTGGTGTTTTAGACAACCTTCAGACAGGTCACTACTCTCTTTAATGAAGAGTGGACACTCCGAAGGGACTGATTGCCAGGTTTCATTGTAGGCCTCACATGGCTGAAGGTATCATTGAGACCACTAAGTTTAATCCAGTTGTATGAGAGAGGTTTCTGTGATCTGGTTTAGCCTTGACACTTGTATACAGACAAATAAGCATGATGCTGCCACAGCCAGCCTTTTCAATTCCTAGGAAAGTGGACATTGAGTTCATGATGCATAGAAACAAAGATAAAGTCAGACATCAGAGACATGGATTCAGAGGGATCTTGGGATAACTTGGGGCAAGTGTCACATCTCTCCCGTCTGACCCTCTGTCCCCAAACCATACAGAGGAACAGTTTATGGAGAAGGTATCTTCTTACACCTGTATAGGAGGACTGGCATTCTCACATTGGCCAGCTACTTAGTCTGTAATGGACTGAAGAACGTGAGCAGGATGATGTACACAGCCTTGCAAGGAAAACTAGCTTAGAGGCTGAGCTTCTTGCTTATGTGGCCATAGGTGCTCTACATCGCTGGGATGTTTCAGTCCTTATGCACTTTCCTGAAGCTAAGGCCCGGGGAGGGAGACTTGGGTGCTGTAGGCAGGTCATTGAATCCCAGGACAGACAGTTCAGGAGAATCACTAGCTCCAGACCCAGGTGATAGTCCCTTAAGGTAAATCTCAGTATAAATAGATGTGAGGTTTATATCTCTTTATCCTGACATTTGCCTTGGGTCCTGTTGGGACTTTGGGTGTCCCTGACACTAGAGTCTTGTTGCTGCCTTTGGCCTTCTACAGTTGAAGGCCAGGCACCCACACCCAGCACCTCTCCCCTTCACTGTCTGTCTGCTGGATGGAGCAAGATCAGGTGCCAGCAGTACCAGTTCTTTGTAGCAGGACATCCACACACATCATCCCAAATCTGTCCACAGGTCTCCCCCTCACAGAGGACAAAGGTGAGTCCTTTAGATGCTCTTCTGGAGATAGCATGTTTCATGGGACACTGTTTAAATTCCACCAAGTGACCCAGTGACCAAGCCATGATGACCAATTTGGTACAGCTGAATCACTTGGAGTCTCACAGGTCAACTCCAGAACTCTAATTTGCCATCTTTTCTCTTTTAATATCTGCAGGTTCTTTGGACATGTTCTATCACGGAAGCCTATTTTCACCAAGTATGTATCCTGTCTGGTGTAGACAAGTGTAACTGAGATGGGGTGCAGGAAGCAGAGTGCCTGTGTTTAGACATGATGCTGGAGAACTGCTTTTCCTTCTTTGTTCCCAGACCTTCCTTCCTGCAAAGTAGCAGGGCAGCCATGAGACGTCATTCTCTGCAGACAGAGGTCCCTAAGGACACACATTGGAAGACAATGGGCATTATTATACCTGCCTCATTAGTCCCTAAATTCCACTAAAAGTAAACCTGCCATTATCTGCCAAGTTAACAGATCTTGTGCTTGGGCAATGGTGAACTCTCAGCCATCTTCTTCAATCTATAATATTTCTTCTCTTGTAGGTGCCTGGCCACATTCTGAAACTTGTACCCAGGGAATTCTTGACATGAATGAGGACACGCACACTCAGCACTAGTGCCAGTGATGGAGGAGAACATTCCAGCCTCCCATTTGACTAGAGAACAAGCAGATCAATTCCTGAGCTCTAGAGGAGCTCAGAGGCTCCACAAAGCTTCAGGAGGGCATGCTGTGGGGGGGGCAGTGAAATGGTTTCTGTTCCAGCATCTAAGCACAGACCACCCCACAACCAATTCTAAGCAAGATCTAGAGACACCAGGAGGATACTCCAGAAAGTCTCCAGTGTGGATGGGTTCTTGTTGAATCCCCATCCCAAAATGATGCTGTGTGTATTTTGACAGTTCAGAAAGATCACCTATGCCTCTGTCTTCACAGATGACCTAGGAAACCTGCCTGCATAGATAAAAAGGAGTGTCCCAGGAGAGCCTTGGGAAGCAAATGTGCAAATGTCTCTGCATGGCCTCTAGACTGGATTGCCTGAAAAGGGAAGTATCCAGGGACCCTATTTCCAAGGCCACTAACAACATGAAGGTGGTACACTTGAGGTCATCCACTTGTACTGTATTTCACTGGTGTTGGATAGAGACAATGTACAAACCATCAAATACTGAAATGCTGAAGTAGAGTTCCACCAGAATTTATCCTAACTGACATTCAGAACACTTTGGGATGGCTGAGAAAAATCCAAAGGAATATAAACTCTAGGACACCCCTGTTCCTCAGCAGCAGTCACTGTTGTTAGGGTGACAGATCTTTTCATGTATAGACTCAGCAAAATGCCAATCTGATGCTCAAACACAAAATGTAACACCCAGTGGGGTCTAATCCTAGAAGAGCCAGCAGAGGGCAGAAGAGATTCCTCCAGACCTTGCACCTCTGCTCCCAGCACTTCCCACAAAGCCTCAGAGATCCAGAAAGTGCAGCAGGGAAGGAACAGAAGCTGGACGCATGGATTCCAACACAACTCCAGCAACAGACCCACCTACACTGTCAGTGACACCTGGGGAAACCAAGGCAGTGGAAATGGTCTGTCTTTAAAGGGCTGCAGGACAACTATGTAAAAGCAAACCATAGTGAAACCATTAGAAAACTGAACACAGTCTCAAATAAGTAAGGCCTGAAGAGGGGACAGCCCCTGATACTGATATGACTCTATGTGGGAGCATCAGGGAGATGCTTTGCAGTGTCTTATGAACACAGCATTGTATGTTGGGTAGCCATTGATGTCCAATAGAACCTGACCCATAGCACTCTATGTAGAATGTCAGGACAGTGTCCAGCAGTGTCTGAACAACAGCAGTATAGGTGGAGCAGAGGTGATGATACTGATGCTGTAAGGAATAGTGTGTGTCTGTGTCTCGGTGCGTCTGTGTATGTATGTGTGTTTTTGTGTTTGGTTTAGAGAGTACACACTGCCTTCAACTGCAGTGAATGTGAAGCTAAGTTCTGGTGTCTGTTTCATTGCACTGTGTTTTGCATGACACAGTGAATATAGGGTTCATTAGCTCTCCTCTTCAAGGGGAAAGAGGAGCTAATTGGACTGGCAGCAATTATATTTAACCAAGGATTCTCATCTTGTAGTTGAGTGTCCCCAAACTCAATTGGTATTTCAGAATATTGATTGTTGCAGTTAGTTTATTATTTGGTGCCTGGATGCTAAACAAGGCATCACCTTCAGGCTGGAGTATCTATGGATCATGGTGTAGTTTCTGCATCTGTTGCCTTTCTTCCACATCCTCTTCCTGAAATTGACTCTTTAGCTTCTATACCGACGGGAAACAGTATCTCACTAGCTCTCTTCTTTAAGGGGAGTGGGAGGCTGAGAGGACCTGCACAGAGCATATTTAACCAGGGAGTCTCATTGTGCTGATGGCTGTCCCAGATGCTCAGTTGGTATTTAAGAATATTGATTGTGGCTGTTAGTTTATTATTTGGTGCTTGGGTGATGAACAGGGCATCACACTCATGCAGGTGCATTTGTGGAGCATGGTGAATCTTCTTTGACATTCTGTCTCATTCTTCCAAACTCTCTTCCTGAGAGTGACTCTTCCCGATATCTATACTGATTGAGAAAGCTGGTTGACTAGCTCTCTTCTTTAGGGGACAGGGAATCTAAGAGGTCCTGCGTGGATCATAATTAAACAGGTTGTATTATCTTGATGATGCCTAATCCCCAGTGCTCAGTTGGTATTTCAGAATATTGATTGTAGCTGTTAGTTTATTATTTGGCGCTTAGGTGCAGTACAGGGCATCACATCCATGCAGAAATATCTGTCGATGATGGTGTATTTTCTGCATCCCTTACCTCTTTCTTACACACCCTTGTCCTGAAACTGACTCTTTCCAGTTTCTATTTTGGGATTAGAAATGCTGATTCACTAGCTCCCTTCTATAAGGGGGAAGGGAGGCTAAGAAGGCCAACAGGGATCATATTTAACCAGGGCTTATCTTGTTGATGCCTCTCACCAAAATCGATATTTCACAATATTGAATGTTGCTGTTATGTTATTTAGTTTCCTGTGTGTTAGGAATGACACAATCTCTTCACAGGTAGAGCCGATGATAGACTTAGTCTCTAAGACCCTGGGAAGGATTTCCTTAGCGACCGGCAATACATGTTCTTGAATATAGCCCAACATAGCTTCTTCTACAACCTGATATATTGTTTGTGCCAAAAGGGAATCCTGAGTAATTGTGCAATGATAATGTGACAGGGTTTTGACAAATGGTAGGAAAAGGGGCAGATTTTTGTGGTGATTATCCTGTGCATATCATCAAGTGTGTTTTCTATATTTGGAAAGTGCCCAATTACCAGGTCCTATAGGACAATGCCCAGGCTCAACATATTACCTGCCAGTTCATTATAAGGTTTCCTTGCCAAGATCTGATACCCATGATGGCAAGGATCCACAGACCTCCTCCAACATCTTACCCTCTGCAAGCTGAGTTGCTATATCAAACTTACACAGCTTGGCCTTGTCAGCTCCGTCCAGAAGGATGTTTTATAATTGAAGATTCTGATGAGCAATGTGTCTTTGGTGGAGAAAGTGCACCACTGACATGATCTGTTGGAATATTGGTCTAGTGGTCTTGTCTACTAGATAGTCTGTCTCCATGAGGAACCTCTCAGGATCTTTTCCTTCAGCATACTCCATGACCACTTGAGTCATTGTCAGTGTGTCAATGACATGAAAAAAATCAGCTGTGTTACTGTGTTCCAAAGATTGAAGGATGTTTACTTCAGAGCTGATGTGAGCTGGAGCATTGTGGTATTTCTCAAGGATCTTGACAGGCAGGAGTATCTATAGAACATGGTGTAGCTTCTGCACTGTGTGCCTCTTTCTTCCACATCCTCTTCCTGAAATTGACTCTTATAGCTTCTATACTGATGGGAAACACTGTTTCAAAGCTCTCTTCTTCAAGGGCAGTGGGAGGCTGAGTGGAGCTGCAAAGAGCATATTTATTTAACTAGGGAGTATCCTTGTGCTGATGGCTGTCCCAGATGCTCAGTTGGTATTTAAGAATATTGATTGTGGCTGTTAGTTTATTATTTGGTGCCTGGGAGCTGAACAGGGCATATACATGAAGGACTATCATTGGATCATGATGAGGCTTCTGCAACCCTTGCCTCTTTCTTACACATACTCTTCCAGAAACTGACTCTTCCCAGCTTCGATAATGATTGAAAAAGCTGGTTCACCAGCTCACTTCTTTAAGAGGAGAGGGAGGCCGAGAATACCTGCTTAGATCACATTGAACCAGAGCATCTCATCTTGCTGATGGCTCTCTCCAATGCATGCTGGATATTTCAGAATATTGATTGTTTCT